TGGACCGGCTTGAGATGCACCTTTGGATGCATGACAAGGTCTGGCTGGCCTTGCTGGCTGCGGTCTGGCATTGGCGGCTCATGTTCATCTTGGAGTTGATAATGACTCCAACATCCCTGTCCACCTCTGTGCTTTCAAGAAGGGAACTCCCCAGCCTGTATGTGTGCTGTGGATTCCTTCTCCCAAGGTGCAGCACCCTGCATTTGTCTATGTTGAACCCCATCCTAGTCTCGTCTGCCCATTGTTGTAGTCTGTCTAAATCTAGCTGCAGCCTCTCTCCCTTCAAGTGTGTCCACCTCGCCCCACATCTTAGTGTCATCAGCAAACTTGGACAGCGTGCTTTCCACCCCTTGTCCAAGTCGCTGATGAAGATGTTAAACAGTGCGGGCCCGAGGACCGAGCCCTGGGGGACCCCACTGCTCACATCTCGCCAGGTTGAGTACAACCAGTCCACCACTACTCTCTGGGTGTGCCCCATCAGCCAGTGTTTTACCCATCCAACTGTGCAGGCACCAATGCCGCAGTCACTTACTTTATTGATGAGGATGGGGTGAGAGACAGTGCCAAAGGCCTTCTTAAAGTCTAGAAAGACTACGTTCACAGCAACACCATTATCCATCACCAGAGAAACCCAGGGAGTGCAAATGGAAATCCCTGCCGGGGTCTGTCTGAGCTCTTGGCAACAGAAGAATTGCTCTAGCTCCTGTAGTCAAAAAACGACTGAAAACTAAGAGCTGATTAGCGACCGATTCTTATTTGTATTGTGATAGGAATAGGCACTGGGCTGTTAATGTCCACCCTGCACCGACTGGCACCCTGCACTGAGCCGGCGCGGCACGGACGCGGGACAACGCAATGGAAAGGGCAACAGAAGATGAAGATGGACTCATGAGACATCTGGGTTACTGCTGCCATTTCAACCGCTTGGATAGAAACCAGTTGCACCCGTGCAGGCTCTGGCACAGCCCGTCTCCGGGATCTCAGTGGCTTCTCCCATCTGCAGACACTAAGAGCTGACAAGCTGGGGCGTCCTTACCTGGGGGGTTTCCCCCTTGGCGCCGGGCGGCAGGCGCAGGACCCAGAAGTTCCTGTTCTTGAGCAGGTTCTCCATGTTCTCCAGGCGCCGCTGCAGCAGCCCGTACTCCTGGATGAGGGTGCCCAGCGCGCCCCACCGCCCCTCCAGCTGGTTGCCGAACTCCACCACGGTTTTCTCGCAGCCGATGAGCTTCTTGTCCACCGTCCCCGCTCTCCCTTCGAGATGCAGCAGCCGGGCGGCGTGCGCGTCCACTTTCTGCTCCACTGCCTGAATCGCGGCCATGAGGGTCAAGGAGATCTCCGCGGCGTGCAGCTCCTTTTCCTTCGCAGCTAGTCGTTTGGAGGCCGCGCGGGACAGCACCGGGGCAGACTGCCGGGATGCCATGTCTTACGTGGGAGCCTGCGGGCAGGGATAAACGGCAAAAATGGAGCTGGGAGCATAGGGAAGTCGAGCTGCAAGTGGGGTTGCATCCAGTCCAGCCCCCTGCTCGAGGTAGGACTGTCTCTGTCCGAGACAGAGGGAAGCGGTGGAATAGACGCCCAGGGAAGCTGGGGTGCAAGAAGAGGTTGGATGATCGGGGGTGATCAAGGTGTAGCGATGCCTGTGGGGATTTCCCATACCTCTGGGCTTTGCTGGTTGGGTATCTTTTCCCCTCCAGCTACTATGTGTGTCACAGATTTTTTAAGCCTCCCCCAGAGGTGCTGGCCGCAGCCCGGGCTGGGGCTGGGGACTGGACTGTGCCGATGCTCCTGCTGGGCTGCTGGCTAGAAGGTCAAACCTGATGACCGCATTTGGGGTCAGGAAGGAATTTGGGGGTACAGACTGTGGGGGTTTTGCCTTCCTCTGTCGCAGGGGCATGGCCCTCTTCCTTGGATCTCTTGAGCATGTTTTAAACAACCCTTCCAGCAGCTGGATGCAGGCTGCTGCGGTCCCCCTACTTTCCCTAAGGTTCGGGTGGGACGTCCTGTGCTGTGTCAGGGGTGACGGTGTCGTTTTGCTAGGAGGTCAGACACTGAATTTGGACAGGATGGTTTGCACAGGGCTGATCCTGCCTCAGGCAGGGGCCGGACTAGATGTGACCTCCACAGCTCCCTTCCAGCTGGACTTCTCCAGGATTCGACTAACCCATCCCAGCCGAGCGTCCGTCCAACCTGCCCAGGGATGCAGATCCCACGGCTTCTCTAGGTGCCTGGAGTCAGGCAGCTCCTCCTCAGCTCCAGCTGCAATTTCCCCTGCTGCAGCCTGAGGTCAGTGCTCCTAGTCCTGTCCCCTACCTCTATAGGGAACAGCCAAACCCAGCATCCCACAGCAGCTGCTCCCATGCTCCAGGCCGGAGTGGGACTCAGTTTTCCTACGTCGTTAACCTTAAACAACCTGCAGGGACAGGGAGGATCTCAGGCAACGTTTGGACTAATTAACTCAGGATGCTCCACGAGCTGACGGCCGAGATAGCCGGGTGCTGGGCCGTAGCAAAGAGCCTCCGGGGACTCTGCGCTTGTGCCCGGGTGGCTTTTGGATCTGTCTGGCCTGGGCTGACAAGGGAAGGCAACTGGGCTGTTTTTGGTGCTAGTTATCAGCGCGGCTCCGGGGCCCACCGAGCGCTGGGCCAGCTCCATCCTTCTGCAGGAGACCTGGGCTCTCCCCAGCCAGAGGGGCCAGCTCCCCTGTGGAAACAAGCCGGTGCAAACCCAGCTGCCCGCAGTAGCTGCTGCTCCCACCCGAGGCGGGAGCAGCAGCCGGGGTCACCTGCGGGCTCTGCTTTTGCCAACAGCCCCAGGCCGGGGCAGCCAGGGCTTTGCTGGGATTTGTTCCCCCGAAGCCACCCCGGGGAGGGGATGGGGCTACGGGGCAGCTGGAGGGAGGGAGGGATGAGGATGGTGATGTGGGCCAGGGGGAGAAGAGATGGGGAACATCAGCCTCACTCCTTTCAGGGAGTGGGGCGGGGAGCGGGTCCAGCCAGGCTAGGGCACATCCCGGGACGTGGAGTCCTCCCAATGGCACCTTTTAAACGCTGTCTCCCGTGCACCCCAGGAGGCCAGCTACGACTCGCTGCTGCACCCCAAGGCAGCCAAGCGGCCTGGCTCCTTCCTCTCGCCATTGCCAAGCCTGGCAGGGCGGGAGGGTCTCCCCCCTGCCCTGCACTGAGAGGAGGGGACACCGCTTCCTTTTTGGCCCTGGAGAGACTCCAGGAGAGGGGTGTGAGCGGCTGGGAACAGGCGTGCAAGCACCAAATATATAGAAATATGTGCACGCAGGAGCAGAAGTACTGGGCGCCAGATATATGAGTGGGGGTGTGGGTGTGCGCGCTAGGGAGTATATGTGTACTAGGGGGTGTGTGTGTGTTTGCTAAGTGTACGTGTGCATGCTAGGAAGTGTGTGCGCTAGGGGTGTGTGTGTGTTCATGTGTGTGCACGTGTGCTAGAGGTGTGTGCGTGTGCATGCTAGGATGCGCCTGTGTGTGTTTGCAAGGTGCGGTGTGTGTGCATATTGGGGGTGTGGGTGCACGTGCATGCTAGGCTGCATGTGTGTGTGCCGGGTGTGTGCGTGTGTTTGCTAGGTGTGTGAGTACATGTATGCGCATGCATGCTGGGGGGGGGTGTTTGCTAGTGGTGTGCGCATGCTGGGTTGGGGGTGCGTGCCTGTGTTTGCTAGGTGTGCGAGTGCTCAGGTGTGTGCGTGCACACATGTATGTGCATGCATGCTGGGGGGGGTGTTTGCTAGTGGTGTGCACCTGTTTGCTAGGTGTGAGTGCCGGGGTGTGGGCATGCACACATGTATGCGCATGCATGCTGGGGGGGGAGTTTGCTAGTGGTGTGCGCATGCTGGGTTGGGGGTGCGTGCCTGTGTTTGCTAGGTGTGCGAGTGCTCAGGTGTGTGCGTGCACACATGTATGTGCATGCATGCGGGGGGGGGTGTTTGCTAGTGGTGTGCGCATGCTGGGTTGGGGGTGCGTGCCTGTGTTTGCTAGGTGTGCGAGTGCTGGGGTGTGCGCGTGCACACATGTATGTGCATGCATGCTGGGGGGGGGCGTTTGCTAGTGGTGTGCCCCTGTTTGCTAGGTGTGTGAGTGCCGGGGGGTGCGCATGCACACATGTATGTGTATGCATGCTGGGGGGGTGTTTGCGAGTGGTGTGTGTATGCTGGGTTGGGGGGGCGTGCCTGTGTTTGCTAGGTGTGCGAGTGCTGGGGTGTGCGCGTGCACACATGTATGTGCATGCATGCTGGGGGGGTGTTTGCGAGTGGTGTGTGTATGCTGGGTTGGGGGTGTGTGTGTGTATGTAGTGCTGGAGTACGCGTGTGCATGCTGGGACGGCGGTGTGCGTGTCTGCTCGGGCTGTGTGCTTGCACACTAGGCGTGTGTGCGTGTAGTGCATGCTGGGAGGGCGGTGTGCGTGTCTGCTAGCACACCAGGGGCGTGCGTGTAGTGCATGCTGGGAGGGGGTGCTGGAGCACGCGTGTGCACGCGGGGGGGTTGCTAGTGCCGG